AGTGTTTTTTTTTTAATAAAAAAAAAAAAAAAAAAAAAAAAAGGTCAAGCTAACAGAATATTTTAAGATCTTGACTGTGGCTAGCTTTTCTTTTTCTTTTATCTGGCATGTTACTTTGGGTATTGTGGTATTCCTGTGAGAAGCTGCTAGGGTGAATGGATCTTCTTAATGAAAAAAAACACCAGCTTTATCGTACCTTCTCTCACTTGAACACTCCTTTTTAGGTCTGGATCAAGAAATAGAGATCGTCGAAGGTGAGTGTGCAGTTCTCCCACGGTTATCCCAAATGCTTATTTGTGTTTCTGTCTAGTTACGGAGGCTTTTCATGGGTCTCATAATGCAGTTCATTCAGTACCCCGCTCTTTTTGCCATTCTCTGTGAAAGAAATGGGAGCTACCACTCAGGCACTGCCGTGGTGCTGTGCTACTTTTAATGTCACCAGCAGGGCTAGAAAGAGCCGATGCTGGCCAGCCAGGACTGGGATAGGGGGTGCTCCAGAGTGTGAACCAAAGAACGTGCCTGGTGCCTTCTTCAATAAGTGTCTCATATCCCTTAATAGTTTTAATGTCTGAGATACGCCTATTGCATATATAATGCCTCAGATATAAAAATACAGAGGTTTAAAATTGAAACCTCCCACATCTCTGTGAAGAGCTTGCCTTATTGGCAATATCAGTATTCTCTAAGTGAAAACCTACCTGGAAACATTTCTCTCTGCTATCTTCCAAGTACATTGGCATCCTTTGTTTTCTTTTTTGAACAGATTGAAACAAATACGCTTCTAAAATGTGGTACTTGACAAGGGAGACTTGTTTTTTTTGGCAGACTGTCATACAGGTTATGGTAATTTTGTGTGCCGTTTATTTTGGCTTGGTTTCTTTTACTTATACAGTCTCACTTTGAAGCACAAAGCTGTGCTGGTAGCTGTGCTCTAGTCATTGCCTTGTGCTTACGTTAATGGTGAGAGCTTTTTAGTAAGCTTTCCAGCAGCTTGAATTTACCTGTTGGCATTTTGTTGGTAGGGTGAGGCCCAAGAGGGGGTACGTTCACCCTGTGGGTGATCTGTCTTCTGCGTTGACAGAGGTGTGACTGTGGGGTGAGCGCTGATGCTCTGGATACATGTTACTCTGGAATACCTGAGAGATGCATTCAGGTGTGCAGGTCTGATGTACTGGCTTATTTCCTATGTCTGAGAGTGTCCCTGTCCTCTTCAGATCACGGTCTCGGGAGAGGCGGCGAAGGCGCTCGAGATCCGCTTCCCGTGAAAGGCGGAAGTCTCGTTCCAGGTCCCGAGACCGACACAGACGCCACCGGAGCCGTTCCCGCAGCCACAGCAGAGGTCACCGACGGGGGTCCAGAGACAGGAGCTCAAAACACAAGTACGTATGCTTTTCACACAGTGCTTCTGAAAAAGGGGAGTCCTTGACGTCACAGCGAGCCTCCTCTGATCGCTTAGTGTGAGCAGGAATATGGCCGGTTTCTCATGCTAGGAGCTGCGGTGTCCTGTACCAACTCCTGAGCCAACGCCGTATTTCCCAGTGGCTGTCTGTAGACAGCCTCCTATGAGAGCAGTAGGGCAGTAACTGTACAGTGGGGTCCCAGTTCGAGAGGAGTGTCTAGGAGGTGGAACTGTTGTTCTCTGAATTGCAGTGCTGAACCTTGAGAAACTACTGGTTTGTTTTCTTGTATAAGCCGCAGCCCAAAGGCCTGCTTGTGCTCACTCAGCCTCCCCAGGTCTGTAAAAGCCAAGTTAACTGGGAGGTGGTTTTGACATTACATTCCCATGGTTATCTTCTGCTTCCCAGCTGCTTTCTCTCAGCACAGGGGAGTGTACTGGCACGGGGAAGGGAGCCTTCTGTTAGGGTAAGATGAAGGCTAGTCAAGAGACAGACAGATCTCTAGAAATGTCCATTTAGGGGAGGGGAAAAAGCTGAAAGGAGGAGGTGGCATAGCATTCTCCTGCCACTGAGGTCCCATGTTACAGAAGTGCTCTAGTCTGAAGAAGGGCCGGAAGTCTCTTCTGAAACTTGGCAAAACTGCCTCTGTGTTGGAGGAAGGATGAAGCAAGTGTATGAATGAGTATTAGCAAACTTGAAAGGAATCATTGTGCTTCCTTACAGCCCTCCTATGCCCAGGAGCAAGAATATCACCAGGTGTTTGCTGAAGTTAGATCTAGTATTCTTTTTAATGCCCTTAGTTAACAAGGGAGTGCTTTAGCACTGTCTCACCTTATTAGACATCACTACTTGAGTACAGTGCTGAGAACAAACCTACCGTTGTCGGTGGACTGCCTTGTGCCCCTTCTAGCTAAGGGGTAAGAGCCGATTTTAATAAAGATACCTGATGAAGGGGAGGGAAATAATGGTCTGCAAAAAAGGAGTCTGTTAATAATTGAGGGGGGTTTGTATAAATACTGTTGATTCTCCAATGGCTGAGATACTAAAGTCCTTTTTTAAATCTGTCTTGAACATGAAAAATAAAGAAAAGAAGTTTGGACAATTAGGAAGTGAGGAAGACCCTGTAATAACTATTACTAAAGAGCAGGTAAGGGAATACTTTGAAAACCTTGAACACATTCAAATCAGCCCATTGAGATTGTAGGGGGATTGGCTAGCCAACATACTTTCACAAAATTACTGAGAATTGGGGAGAGACTAAGATCAGTTTTTAAAAAAAAGAGAGAGAGAGAGGGGGGAAAAAAGTGAACAGAAAAATCCAATCCCCTGAAACAGTGTAGCTTCTGTTTTCACTTAGAGAATTAATGAACTTCACATTACAGTCCTGCTGGTCTGATGTCTTGCTTCTAGAAAGAAAGGGAGTGACTGTTGTGGGATGTGTAGATCTCAGCATAGGAGAATTATGGGCAACATGAATTGTGGGATTGGGAAAAGAGGTATTCGGATCAGACTCATGTTGTCTTCTGGTTAAATGACACAACTTAATGCAAAGGAAATGGTTAATGTGATACGGAGGGCTGTAAGGTTTTAATCATTTATGCAATATTTCAAAGCTTTGAAGTCAACATGAATGAAAGCCGGAACCTTTAAGGTACCTGCCAGGTCCCTTTTTGTAACTGGCAAAGAAAAATCTTGTGTACTGAGTTCTAGAATAAAATATGCTGGCTGTGCAGGGTCTCTGAAGACTTCTGCCTAATTCCGAAGGGGTTCGAGCTGTTAAGTGATGATAAAGGGTCAACGCCTTTTGAAGGCTGCTAGAAGATAAGCTGGTTTTGGACAGTTGGCTTGGATCATACAGAAAACTGCCTTTTAAGACTGGAGCCCTCTGATTAATTCTGTATGGGCTGACTCAGTGAAGCACTGATGAAAATCTGTAGCTATCTGTTGGATAGGCTGTGAAATGATTTGCCCTTGTTTTGGACTCTGAGCGTAAAGTGTATCGTCCCCTCTTTGAATAGAGGCTGCTGCCAAACGTTATTCTTGTCAAGATGCAGAGTAACAAAAGTCCAGGACTGAGCAAGCATTGGAATCCAAAGAGTATAGCTGGTATTTAAAGCAGTTCTTGAGCAGAAAGCTGCTGGCTCAGAGCATAACTAAAGAACGCTCTAAAAGACGCAAGCAGGAGCTGAATGATAGACGAGGAAGACATTGCAGGCGCTTAAGAATGGCCCAGTAAACTAATAAGGGGCCCCAGGGAACACCTCCGAAAGGGTCTCTGGTAACAACCTATATGAAAAGATCACTCTAAGGAGAGAGTAACAGAGGCTGCACAATGCTCTCAGCACTGCAAAACTTGGGAGTTCTGTTACGTAAAGCTTGTAGAGGGACCAGCATTTCTATCCCAGGTGATAACTGCTCCCGACATCACAGCACCTAGGAACATTTCCTTAAGAAACTTTGATTATGCCACAGCCCTATTAGGAAAGATTTTGCCATTTTATGCATATTTACAAATTATTTTAGTTGTGAAGCTTATAGTGACGGTTTAATTTGTACTTCAGATCCTCTAGAGATCGATCTTCAAGAGAAAAGTCCCGAGACAGAGAGAGGAAAGAGAAGAGCTCTTCTGAGAGACGGCACGAGAGCACAAATGGCAAATCTCGTTCCAAGAGATCAGAAGAGAGAGAAGCTGGCGAGATCTGAACTCAAACGATCTGTGTTGCACTGTAAATAGTCTGATAAACATTCTACACAAAGCCTAAATTTCCCATTTATATTTACTGAATACAACTCATCTTTTGTAGTTTTGAATTTTTATTGTTTGGCAGATAGCTGTGAGTTTGTAGAGACACAGAGTTACGTACTGTTTAACAGGATTTTGTTTTAGTAGGAATAAATAAATCTGACGGATCATTTTCAATACAGGCCAGTGGTTCACACACTGTTTGTCATGACCCAATGAACGCGGCAGTTAGTTAATGCTGTGGTTGGAAACCTGACCTGCTGTAATGTTTGTAACAGTTATGCTCTTTCCAGAACGTCTCCCTGACCCTTCGCACAATTGGAGTTTGAGAAATCAGTAGCACTGGCTCTAACTTGATTCATTTTTTTTCCCTTCTGTTTGTACAAGTTAAAAGGAATTCATATTTCTTTTTAAATGCTTAACCACCTCATTTTTGTGTCTGCAGCATTTGAGAATCGCCTCACTATTCCAGCTGGGTCCAGACAGAATTTGGCCTGCTATCCCTATTTCAAAAGATATTGTGTTTGTGAGGATGACCAAATCAACTGGGGCACAGTTCCTGGTACCTTTACAGGTGCCTGGTTTAAAAAGCCTGTGCTCAAATGAAAAATCAGGGTTGATTTCTTATATAGAGGAGTACAGTGACAACTAGTCTGCCTGTTTACTGTGCACTCCGTGGTCAGAAAATGACTTCCTAGATGGGGTTTTCTGACTTGCAAAAGAAGCGTTGGTGTATGTGTTTTAAGGGCCAGTCAGGCAGAAATTGGTCCAGTGACAGAGGTGACCTTTTTCTCCAGAGGGAGCAAACTTCTGCTTCCGGAGGGGCAGGGCAGCGTGAGGAAAGCAGCCGCCTCGTGGCGGCACCGCGTACGCAGGTGTCAGTGTGTACCACTTCTCTTGCTGAAGCTTGCAGCTGGGATGCAAAGAACCCGCTGCGTAGTAACAACTGGGGGAAGAATTTGCATATTGTAACTAGCTTATTTGTAACTAGATTTATTTTAAAATAGGGGAGGAGGGTATTCTTACTGTGCCAGCCGCAGTTGTAACCCCGAGGATCAATCTTTCGTGAGAGTTGTCGTGTAACTAGAGCACTTAACGTGTGCCGAGCTGGGAGCTGATGGAGCGTGAACCCAGCCGCTGCTGTACAGCCTCGTGTACCGGCCTGTTCGTTAACTCAGTAAGGCAGGTATCTTACATTAAGACAGTTAAATCCTAACACTGTCACTCGGTGGAAACAAAAGTATTTGTACATACTCTTGCAGCGGTGTGTCCGGGGTGGTGGGGTTTTCCAGCCGCCTTCTCTTTGAGGCTCTGAGAAATCGCTTAACTACTCTGATTTTCTTCGATCCCGTTTTTTTTTCCCCCTCCCCGAGACGTGCCAGCGCTGTCCTCGATGTGTTAGTCTTAGATGCATGTTTAGCGGTCGCCGGCTCCGCGTTCCCTTTTCGTTTTTACGACTAATACTGCTTTTTAATTACTGTTTTGTAAGCG